TTTCTACACAACGGTATTATACTAAGGGTGCGAGTTTCTGAAATAATTGTTTTGTGGTTGAAGGAAAAAAGGGACAGGGAGATTTTTGGGCCAAGATTAGATTTCTGCCGAAAGTAGTTGTTATTGTAAATTTATGCGCGCGACGCCTAGCTCGCAATTTCCTCTTTGAGCCGAGGTGGTGGAGTTTAGTGATAATCCTCAATTTCGCTGTAAAAACAATAATTCAAGTCAGTGAGGAGTACTTCCGTTTCTATGCAACCAATACTTGGTATGATTCGAGCTTCGGAAATCACGAATTGAAAGCCCGCGAATTTGGTTGATGATTTTTGGGAGTGGCGGTTCGTTATTAAAAATGGGAGTCTTAAAGGAAATTCATCATTAATCCGTTTAACACCGTGCAATATCGCAGATCTCGGATTAAAGGCGAAACGAGTAGTAATGTGCTGGAAGGCACTTGTGGGGAGTCAAACAGGAAAATTGACCCCGACTGCCGAGAAATATAAATTCCTGTCTTGTATATGAAGGTTTTGACCCGCGATCGCAACTTGATCTTGAGGTACGGGAAACGAGCGGTTTCTGCGCGGGGCGCGGAGAGGCGCTTGGCCAGGAAATGGGTCCAATTTCCCCCACGGCTGAAGTGTCTTGGCTCTGGGAGTTGGCGGAGTCCCACGCGGACTGCAGTGCAGGAAGTCACGAGGGGACAGACTACCGTGTCGAGGACTCTTGTGCTAGGGGGCTGGCGGCTCGATGGGACGGTGGGTGAGGCAACTAGCGATACCTCAATTAAACCGTTCCGGGGGAATCACGTTGTCCGGACCCACGCTGACCGAAGCTCGACTCAGGCTCTTGATGGCAATTCGCAAGCAAGCGGAACGATAAAATCGCTGGAAAAACACTCTGCTCGGTCGCTCTTTTCCACTTCAAATGCCTCGGTATTTTCTTTGCCCTCTTCCCACCGTCTTTTTTCAACAACAATCCAACATTTTGCGGTTCTAAAATTTCCACGGTTCTTGAAAGTTGTGCATGTGTGAAGAAGTTTGATAACCAAGGGAATTCAACCGAGTGTTTAAATTGCAATTTTTGGGGGCGAAGAAGAAGAAAACTTGAACAGGTCCCGAACCCTTTCAAAATGTCCGAGCGTTAAAAGGGATAAGAACGCAATCTACAAGCTCGCTGCCTTAAGGAATTACCAATCGAACTTATGAGCGAAAAGAAAGCAAGTTTAAACAGTCAACGGTGAGAAACAAAAACAAACTTCTGCTTTACGAATTCCCAAAACGATTTCTACAAGCCCTTTTCGTTTTTAAACACGCGTCTGAATAAACAAACAAAAACAACTAATGTGATCAAAAGAAAACACTGCCTGATGTTTTCTCTTTCTTTTAACAAAGCTAACCCCGAAATTTAAAACCAAACATGTCACTAATTCCCAAGTGTTTAACGAGGCAAATTCCCTGATGTTGTAAGAAGCACAACGGCATTCACGGACATTATCCAAACGGGAAACTAGGGCAGCATTGAACTTTTCTTCACACGATCACAGTTCTATCATAAAGTTTCTTTCGTTTCTGGAATTTCTAATCTTCAATTTTTTTTGGGGGGGGGGGTAACTATAAAGTGTCAAACACACAATGGGGGGGGGGGGGGGGGGGAAATCAGTATGAAATTTTCAACCAATTTTCAACAAATGTTTTCCGGAGTCGTCAAACCAGAATGAATTGATTTTTGCAGATTTGTGTCGACATTCAACAGATTTGTGTCAACATTCAGTCAACATTATCTTTTATCGTAACTAAAGAAATTCGCAGATTTGTCTTAAAGTTCAAAGAACCAACATAACCCTGACACTATTACCCATTGGCCGAAACCTTTTGTGGCGTGTGGACCATAGCCCCGCCCATATTTGAATTGTGTACATGTTTAACAGTGGTTTGACCAAGCTATCATGGTCACCTGACTCAAAATCGTGATGTAATTGGTCAATGTGCATTTTTGTATCGATTGTTGACAGGCAGGAAAGGTCCATACCGAGATTCTGATCAGATAATATCAAATTTTCATTGCTGTGACTTTTTGTTCTGATTATGTGACAACATGTGAATTCAATCCCAACATGTGAATTCAGTGTTAGGCTGCGGGATACTCACGCCACATGTTGTAAGGACTATCGTGCCTGAATGAATAGATCAAGTAGGAGAACACCCATCAACCTACATAACTCAATAAATATAAGCTCTAACGGTGACGAGAAGCATGACTTACCAATAACGCCCTCTGTTGACTTGAAACGGAAACTGGCAGCCATTCGTTTACAAATATAGTCCAATTCACAATTTTCGAAATCTTAAAGTAAAAAAAAAAAAATGTGATGAACAATGAAAGAGTGAGTACATTACAAAAAGTTCCAAGGGCGAGGCAATTTTTTTTAACAATAAAGACGTTGGGACTGAAAACTCGTCATCAACTGTAACCGTTGATGGCGCTGTTCAAATTTAATGATAGTTATTCAATTAATGTTTAACCTGAAGTTAATAGGTACGGTTTGTTTCTCTCTTTAGTGACCGTTTTTCCTCCTCCTGCGGACCTGACCGGCTATAATATAAAAAAAAAAATTTGTTGATGCGACTTTTTTGGAATTATGAAATGTGATATAATTATTCAATTGAGTTTATGGACGATTGAGCAGAGTTCCTCTTTAAGACTGATGATATACAGGCTTAGTCTGTACCTCAAGTCGTACGTCATCAATGTCAGCTTGGAATTGAAGGCTACTTCATCATGTCCGCTCCCAGTAGGATGGTTCTATTGTCTTCCCTGACGCTTCGTTTCCTCTCTCGTAGATTCCTTCAGAGGCTAGAGCCCTGTGATATATGACGCAATCCTGACCTACCTTTGCACTGAAGGGCCAGGTAGAAGTTGGGGCATGAGATCACAATGTACACGCCTACACTGAGCAGTGATACAAATAAGTTCGACAATGCATCGTCACTGTCCCTGTTTCAGGTTAACACGCCTATCTACCTTCCCAGGAACTGCGTTTTACCCAACCCCTCCCACCCCAAGCACACCTTGAGAATCCGGAGGCATTCTCGCACTCTTAGTCGCAAGACCGACTATCTCGATATGTTTTGTTTCGCATCACTTTTTGAGTGTAGAATTGCTAGCAAGCAAGAGAATAGGATCTCCAAGGAAATTTGAGGGTACGGTTACCCCTCCCTATCAACCAAAGGAGAACGGAGGCAATCTTACATGATTCCTTTTTCTTGACAAGGCGTAACAATTCCGCATGTCCGTTTCCTAGAACTATATTTACAAAAAGATGTCATAGTTTTTGAAGAGTAATGTTCTGTCAATTTGTCAAGGTTTGCCAAAGCTGAGCTAGATTATTGACGACCATTTAAAAACAGAAACAAAATGTATAGCCTATAGGTCCTTTTTTTTCAATTTGCACAAAGCTTTTCAATTTTAACCAAAACCTGTTAAAAATGTTTAAAAATTGGACCATCACTAAGCAAAATTGTGCCATGATTGTGCACACATGGTCATGATTGTTCCGTTTGACGCACAACTCGGCAAGAAAAATGTCACAATAATCGGCCAGTGGTCCCAATTATGCCAGAGCTAAGGTTCCACCCGTGCCCTGGGCTCAACTGAGTGGATGTCGAACTAAAAACAATAGCCTTGGGCCAAAGACTCGGCGCTACCACTCGTCGAGGATTACAAAGGATTACCAGAAATGTCTTCAAGTCGAGTTTACCTGTCGTTCCTGCTTAAGGCTTGCTCGCGTTCCGGCGTGCCTGGATGCTGCCCGCCCTCTAGAGCATTGAGTCATCTTTAGAGTTTTACCTGTGCCATCTTTGCTACGTATCGTAGCAGGTGGTTTTCATTTAGAGACCTCCTTTTTTTGCCTTTTTTTACCTTTCTTCAACTGGTGATCATCATCATCCCTCCATCATTACTGCGTATCTCTCAACGCTCAGGTTATGAGTAAAAAATGCGATGTTTTATTACACCCGCCCGGCCGTTAGTCTATGTAATAGACCCCGTCCCTGGCGAAGCCGACAAACTAGGAGACTTGGCTCCGTCGATAATGGTGATACTCAGACAACCCGGCCGTGCCATCGGCAAAAGAAGTGGGGTTATTGTTTTTGTGAAGAGGGGGGGGGGGGGGGGATTAGACTTGATGACAAGTCGTTAGATATCGTATTTTGTCCGTGAACTTCAGTCGAACAATATCGGCGCGGCTGGTATAAACCTAGCACGTAATCGGCCATTACCATTACAAAAGCACCGTAATTGCCAGAAACGCTATAAACTTTGGCTTCACACTCGGGCGATCTTGTTCAAGGGCGGAGCCCCGCAAAATTGTAGGATTTTACTGGAAGAGATTATCTTTTATGTTCTGTAAAATAATTCCCCCGGGGTTGTTCAGTTGAAAGTCAACAAGAAGTAGGCTACAATCCGTAGCTACCCCTAACAGTCCTGAATCCTCCAATTTTAATATGATTTTGCACACCCCCTAGGGAGTTAGGGTTAATAATAATTAGAGGGAAATGACCAGTTTTATTAAAAAGATACACATTTCGCAGATTGAATGTACCATTCACACACGAGTTAAAAAGAAATATCAAGAAATGTTCGACTTTCATATGTAAAATTGAAATTGTAGGAAATAATTCCCCATTGTGATAGATGCCTTATGGCCTTACTGAGGTCACCTCAAGCTCCGCCCCGAGGATATTTTTGAGAGATTTTAAGGGGATCGAAGTGTCATCTGCAACATCAGCCGACATTTAAAGGAAAAAAAAAAGCCGCGTCGCCGCACCACTTTTGGGGCAAGCTCCATACCAGATTCCGAAGACATAATGTGGTCAGAAACATTATAAGTGGTCAGAAATTGCCTCGGATCACACACACTGCCACAGAGCATCTAGAATATTGAGTGTTCCGAGGTTCTAGGGAGGGAAAGAATTTATTCGAGTACAGGAAACATTTAGAGCTTGGTTCCAATCATCACAACTGTACGATTTATTCAGTAGCCTTCTTGAAAACTTGCTGCACTTGTAAGATTGCAGCTTCACTTCTAAACCGATATTTGATTATTCCAATGGCCCATTCGCTCAGTTCGTTCATTTTTATTAAAATAAAAATGCTACGAGGAAGCATTAAGTGGCAAACAGAGTTGAGAGAAAACCAGCAGCCCATTTCACTTACATGTGCCATCTTTGTCGTGTCCCTGAAACAAGGACTTGACAACTTGTAGTAACATACCATATCAAAGGAACCAGTCTACTTTAGGCAGGGCCGGCCTGTTTTTTCGTCACTCAAAAATACATGCAAGTGCATGTACATTGTACATGTACTAACTTTTTCTTATACCGCAGCACAGCTCTACTCGCATCTGCTTGACAAAAAGAGTTTTTTGAAAGTTTATTTTTACAAAAGTGAATCGATATGAAATTGAATTGAACACTTACACATGTTTTCTCCTGAACTGTGGCCTTTTTCTATTTTCTTTTTAAACAAAATTTCAAGTTATGATCAAAATTATTCTAGAGATTAATGTACATACATGTACAAGTACACGTGTTTTGCATTGATCAGTCCATAGAAAGTGTATCTTGACAACAGAGGGCGTGCTTTACAAGAGACAGTCATGTTCCTTCATGAGTTTCTATTAACCTGTGGCTAACGACCTTAAAACAAAGAGTAATTGTGAGAACAAAATTAACATCAAACTAACATAGTATTACAATTTAAAAAGGGGTCACCATGAGCAGTTATGAAAACAAAAACTTGTCTGAAAAAAACAACAACACACACAACATTTTCCCACTAGTTTTGTGTCTATTTGTAATCCAAATTTTACTCTAAAAATATTTTAGCTGTTTCAAAATAAATAGAGTGTTGCCTTAAAGCATTTCTGGTGGTATTTTTTTATGTCAAGCTTTCAAGTAGTCATGATATAACCCAATTACTCAGCCAGTCAGCCTTTCTTAAAAAAAATCATCAGGAAAAACACTACATGTACATGTATATGAATTCGAATTACATAGAAATACAAAATATCGTACAGCCCCTGAGCACTAATTCCCGTAGATTTGAGACGATTGAGAAGACACATTACTTGAAGACAAACGACACCTAAATGAAACTTAAAAATGACAAATCTTTAAAACCATCATATTTACAACTCGGTCCTAGAATCTACTTCACACTCTCTATATACTATCTTCCACGAGAATAAATTGTTTAAAGAATACACATTTAAATAAGTAACCACTTTTACAATCGCCCCTTTACATGTTGTTTTACAGAACACCTTTAAAAACCACTCCATATCCAAATTGGTTTCTACTGGAAAAAATGTGATCACTTATGTACAAATGTCAACACTATAAAAAGCTAGAAAGCTAGGCAGGCCACTTTTCCCGAATTCCTTAGTTTCCTTAATATTTTTTTATGAAATTCACCGATGCAGTGCAAAAATGTAGTCACCTTTTGACCTTGCATCAAAAACTGCAAAACGTGTATCAAATGGAAGACATATTTTGCAAATACTTGTCACTAAACCATGCTAAGTATTTTCGCTTTCAGTAACAAGTAGTTCTGGAAAGTAGAATATAAAAACCCAAATGTTCAATTAGGAATGTATTGCTTCCCTATCTTCTATTTTAGCAGATGAATGATTAACAAAACTAAGGCTAAAACTATGAACTTTGTACAAATATGTACAGTAGGGGAAATCCAAGCTCTATTTACAATACAAATATCTCGGAGGGAAGGTGAAGACTTCACCCTTTACTTGGAATTAGAAGTACTGATGATTGGGGTTTTTTTTACTTGTGACTTATCAATACCAATAATTTCAAAAAAGTAAAATTCCACTCCTCGTTTATACTTTTACATCCTTTCCATTTCAACTAAAATGGTATAAAATGGATCTTCAAAATCCCAATATATTGGTCCAATTCATCTGCATATTATGTACGAAAACATTCAGACACTGAAGAAAATATCAAATTTAGATCACAATGATTCAATATTTTACCAGCTAGTAGATTAATGTGACAATCAAAGTCTAAAAAATGAACTCCTGTTTGTGAAGAGACCAGTAAAAAGGAAGAAATAAATATGCTTAAATCCTCTTATCTTAATCACACTTCAAATACATGTAGCAACAAATGACTCCAAAGTTTTCTGAAAATGAATGCTCTATTTGAATCTTTTTATTGAGCCTGAGATCTGCATCAGTGTAAAATGACAGATTTCAATTTTTCCTAGACCTAGTGGTTCTCCTTGTGACAGCAGGTGAAGCCTTTTTGGCGACGGTTGGAGATGCCACCTTCTTGGCTGCTTTGGAGGTTTTTGCAGCAGGTTTGGGTGTCTTGGGTTTGGATGCTGCTCTCCCCCTTGTCGCCCGCTGCTTCTTAGGAGTAGGTGAGTCGATGACGATGATCTCTACAACAGTCTGCTTATTGGCCTTGGCTTTTGGTTTGGGAGTGGCAGTGGCCTTCTTGACAGCCCCTCTACGTGTCTTCTTGGGACTTGGCTCGGCAATGACTGGTGATGCCGCAACCTCCTTGCTTGCCTTACTGCGTGGCACCTTCTTGGCTGGTGTCTTCTTTACTGGCGACTTGGCTGGCTTAGCTGGAGATGCTTTCTTCCTGCTTCTTCCTGACCTGGTTGTTTTGGGGGAGACAGTAGGTGCTTCTATAACTGCTGCGGCTTCTTTCTTAGCCTTAGTTGTCTTGGCTGGGGTCTTCTTGGGAGCTGCCTTGGATTTAGCCGGTGTCTTGGCAGGTGTTTTCTGAACAGGTGCAGATTTAGAGGCTGTCTTCTTGGGGGCTACCTTGGGTTGCGCAGGAGAGCTGACGGCTTTCCTTCCACGTCCAGATCGAGTCTTCTTGGGACTGGGCCCAACAAGGACCACTTCCTCAACATCCAGGGTGGTTGCTTTCTTAGCAGGTGTTGCTTTCTTAGCGGGTGTTGCTTTCTTAGCGGGTGTTGCTTTCTTAGCAGGTGTTGCCTTCTTAGTGGGTGTTTTAGTTGGCTTACTTGTAGCAGCTGCTCTTCTACCTCTCTTTGCGGGAGCAGGAGTCTCGGCCTTAACAGGCGACACTATTTTCACAGTCTTCTTGGGTATTGGAGCAGTTGCCTGTTTCTTAGATCGCCCACGGGTCTTCTTAGGTGACGGTTCAACAGAAACCACTGGAGTTTCTGGAGCAGCAACTGCTTTCCTTCCTCTTGTCTGCTTCTTGGGGGTCTTTTCTTTAGCTGGTGGAGTTTTAGCCTTCTTGGCTGCAGCTCCTCTACGTCCACGCCTCGCTGGTGTTGTTGTTGTTCCCAAAGAGTCTGCTTGAGTAACAGCCTGCTTTTTGGCGGGTGGCTCCTCAACGGGTTCAACAGCTGCTCTTTTGCCACGGGTCTGTTTCTTGACTGGAGCAGGAGACGGATCCGTGACTGCCTTGGCAGCACGTGTCTTCTTAGCAGGTGTCTTGGTTTTCTTGGCTGGGGTTTGCTTGGGTGCAGCTCCTCTCTTGGGTCTCTTTGGCTTCACAGGACTAGGTGTTGCAATTTTGGATTCTTTAACAGGTGTATCAGCTTTCTCGGCCTTGGGTCCCGGGGTGCTTGCTTTGGTGCGCTTAGCGGGTGGAGCTGGTGGTGGAGAGGCCTTGCGCTTGGTTATCTTCTTAGCGCTAGCCTTAACAGGGGATGGGGGTTGTCGCTTAGGAGTGACAAAAAGTTCAGGTACTCCTTCGAAGTCATCATAAGGGTCAATCTTCTTGGGAGATGCGACAAGCTGCTTGATGCCACCCAACTTTGGAGACTTGGGTAAAGGCTTGGGAGTTTTCATGAGACGAGCAATACCAGAGAATTTCGGTGTCTTTTCTTCAGCAGGTGTTGTTGTCTTTGCAGGTGTCTTGGCCTTTGCAGGTGTCTTGGCTTTTGCAGGTGTCTTGGTCATTGCAGGTGTCTTGGCCTTTGCTTTAACCACCTTGCCTGTCTTCATGGGAGTCTTACTGTCCTTCAGCGGCGACACAAACTTCTCAGACATTCTCTTACCTGACATTTTGACAGCAGCCATACCAGAGAATTTCGGTGTCTTTTCTTCAGCAGGTGTCTTGGGTTTAGCAGGTGTCTTGGGTTTAGCAGGTGTCTTGGCCTTTGCAGGTGTCTTGGCCTTTGCAGGTGTCTTAGCCTTTGCAGGTGTGTTAGCTTTAGCAGGTGTCTTAGTTTTAGCAGGTGTCTTGGCTTTAGGTGTCTTGGCCTTTGCTTTAACCACCTTGCCTGTCTTCATGGGAGTCTTACTGTCCTTCAGCGGCGACACAAACTTCTCAGACATTCTCTTACCTGACATTTTGACAGCAGCCAGAGCAGACACTGTGACTGAGGACTTCATGGGTGTCTGCTTGGCTATGAGTGGCGAGACCATCTTGTAAGGAGATGTGCTCTTCCTTGGGCTAGGCACCCTTGATGTCAGAGGTGATACTGCCATGACGCCGGGCCCTTCTGGTGTGGGCATGTCCAGGGTGGCATCCAGCAAGGACTGCTTGGATCTCTTTTTTGGTGATGGGGTCTTCATCATGTCCGCCAGGCCTGTAAAGCTGGTGTCAGCAGCAGACTGTGTTTTGGGTGGTGCCTTCTTGAATGGTGTCTTCCTGCCCTTCTTGGGACGGACAGGTGTCTTTGCGGTACGCTGAGAACGACCGATCAGGATGGTTGCTGGAGAGGCCGCATGTCCAGTGCTTCCAACACCAAATGCTCTCTGAAGACGGACACAAAATAATTTAATAAATTAATAACTTGTCCATGTCCATGTCACACAATGTATGCACTTGCACATCATCACACAATGTACGTACCGTAATTTTTGGAATAAAGGCCACACTGAGTACAGTCGACTCTCGTTAGTACAAACTCTGTTAATACAAAATTCTGGTTTTAACAAACATCAAGCCTTGGTCCCGACTGTGCATTTATGTGCACAATGAATGGGACTGATGTTCCTCTTTATACAACATTCTGATATAACAAACAATTCGACTCGACTGTATAAGCTGCAGCACACAAAAATCTGCAAATAAAGATTTGAACTCGGCGTATTAGCCGCACCAGCCGCAGTGGTTTCAATTTTGTAAGGCCTCCAAATTCTATAGTTAAAAAGCTCTGGACCAATTCCGTTTACACTACCAAAGCTATAAAAAGGGCCACAAAAGTTATATCAAAACATTTACGGTCGATACGCGCTGCCAGCTGGCCCGGCCGGTCCCCGGGCTTAAAAGTTAGCGCATGGCCTGGCAGCCTGCGCCGGCGAATGACAACATTTCCCCACAGCAATTGACAGAGTTTGCAACACACCATGTGTCATCTGACTGGAGCGCTACAAATCTTGCTTTGTGGCAATAGTTGCTGATTGGTTATGTCCTAAGAACAGGTCCTTTTTTACAACAAAACTTATTGAATTGTTGTGATTACTAACGAGTAGTAACGTCAAAACTTTTTTTTCTTCGAAAATGAACAGTCAACATGATGCAGACATTTTTATGGACGAATAAATGAATTTCGCACAGTGTAGTAATGTCACATCAATGTGACTGTACAGTCACCAATGAGAACAGCTTTCACATGCACGGCCGGCTGGCTGGCTGCACTTTTAGTACATACACCACTCAGTATCTTTTCGTGGGATGCGACATGCTTCCACTGTTTGTTAATGACTTACTTCATGTGACGATTGATAATTCATTTCAGCGACAGATTTTTTCTTATACCAGAACATTAAATATACAGTCGACACTCGTTAGTACAAACTCTGTTAATACAAAATTCTGGTTATAACAAACATAAAGCCTTGCATTTATGTGCACAATGAATGGGACTGAGGTTCCTCTTAATACAAAATTCTGATATTACAAACAATTTGTCTAGGTCCGAACGAATTTGTTATAACAAGAGTCGACTGTACATTTGAATCTCATTTTAACTCCTCAAGGCTCAGCGTATAAGCCACCCTGTCTATAAGCCGCAGTAAACGTTTTCAGTGGCAAAATCAAAGTATAAGCTGTGGCTTATATTCCAAAATTACGGTTACTTGCAAAGATATTAATTTCAGCTTTTATCGATGTCTTTGAGTGGAGAGCAAGTTCTCGCAATTTTGAATATCTCACTATAATTTAGACTTTTGGAAGACTTAATAACAGTAACAAAACAGGATTGATGACATACCTTTGGTGTCTTAGCCTTTGAAGACACTATCTTGGCCTTGGTGCTTTTAGATGTCTTCAGAGCTCTTGCAACAAGGACTTTGGAAGCAGTCGAAGGCTTGGATGCTCCCTTCTTGACGATGTCTGCCCACCTCATAGGACGTGGAGTCTTGGGTCTGGCTGGAGTCTTGGCTCTGGCTGGGGTCTTGGCTCTGGCTGGAGTCTTAGCCTTGGGGGTCTTGGCCTTGGGGGTCTTAGCCTTGGGGGTCTTGGCCTTGGGAGTTTTAGCTTTGGGTGTCTTGGGCTTTGGCGTCAACTCGGACGACATCTGCACTGGAGACTCGGCAGCAATTGTTACCGCTTTCTTCGCAGCAGGTGTTTTTGCTTTGGGAGTTTGGGTCTTGGCTTTTGGGGTTGCTGGCTTGGCTGCTGGAGATTTCTTGGCAGTTGGAGTCTTTGTCTTCTTTGGGGTAGGGGTCTTGGCCTTGGGTGTCTGTGGCTTCTTGGGGGTTGATGGTTTAGTCTTCTTCAGATCAACACCCTGTATAACCAAACAAAAATAAGCTCAATCAGTGTTGTAATACTCATATTTGTTGCATTTTTTGGCACTGGTACTTATGAAAATGTACTCGTACGTGCACAGGAAAACAATTTTCCGTAGTCCTCATGACAAAGTACTCGTACTCTTGCAAATTTTCTCACGGAAGAATTTTTTTTAAAAGAGCTACATGCAGGAAGAGAAAGTTTTCTAAATTATGGGAGGCTTTTGCATTTGTTTAAAGCCTATTTTGATAGCAAAAAGCCATTGAAAGCATGCGACCCATTGAAATTTGCTGCTACTTGTGGAAAGTACTCATATTTGTACTCGTACTCGGGTAAATTTTTGGTACTTGTACTTGTGGAATAAATTGCCTTGTACTTGTACTCATGACAAAGTACTTGTACTCGCACTCATGGCAAAGTCTTGTACTTGTGGAAGTGTACTTGACTTAAACACAGAGCTCAATTAAAAACTGGTTAACCTAGTAATCAAGGTTGTAATATATTGTAAAATATGGCATTTTAAAATATAGGGAGAAGTTGTGTATTTGTTTATTTGACAAGTTTGAAAGTCTGGCATTCAGAGATCACTGCTTTCTGAATCCCATCAGTTTTCTAAATGTTTCCGATTTAGAATTGCTCCACTCCAATTTCAATTTTTGTTGAACGGGAAAATTGAATGCAAACTTATGTGCAGTGGGGACTTCACATAATAGCACAAAGATTTTCCATTGGTTTGATCATTTAGGAGGGCTCCTGGTAACAATACTGAGGGAGTCGGAGTTAAATAATGCAAGTTGGCAAGCTCACCTTCTCAATCTGTTCCTTGAGAGCTGGTGACATCTTCTTGGTCTCAGTGCGGGCCTTCCTCTCCTCAGCAGCAACCTTGATGCCCTTCTGTAGCTCAGATGCCAATTTCTTGGGGGTAGGAATCTTAGGTCTGGCTGCAGCTGCAGCTCTGATGTCTTTTTGCAACGGAGTCCCCATCTTCTTAGGAGTAGGAACCTTGGGCTTTGCCGCAGCCGCCACCTTTATGCTTTTTTGCAAAGGTGTTGACATCTTCTTGGGTGCGACTTGTTTGGGTTTTTCAGCAGCAGCCTGGGCTATTGCCTTCTTCAATGGTGTCGCCATTTTCTTGGGGGTAGACTTCTTGGGCAGGGCCTCTGCAGCCTTCTTGATGGCTTCTTTCAAAGGTGCTGACATCTTCTTTGGGCTTGATTTTGCTCTTTTTTGAGCAGCTTGAACGATAGCTTTCTTCAAGGGAGTTGAAAGCTTCTTTTTCAGGGCCGATTTAGGTGTTGGCTTGGATACTCTACCCTGACCGACTGCTCCTTCTTTGACTGGTGACGGTGTGCTAAACATCTCTGGGAGACCGGTGAAGCTTTCATCCATCAATTTTACTGAGGGCTTGATTGCTCTTGGGGTCTTCTTTTCTGAAACTGGAGCTGGTTTTGGAGTAGCAGTTTTCACTGGAGTTTTTGCTTTCGGTGTAGCTGCTTTTGGAGTGGCTAGTTTAGCATCTGCCTTGGCTGGAGAGGGTGGCTTCACAGCCAGCTTAATCTTCATCAGGGGCTTCTTAGACGACTTGGGAGACTTTCCTGGTGATTTCTTGGAAGACTTAGGGGTGACTTTAGGAGACTTCTTGGCTGCAAGTGGCTTGGCTGGTGTCTTAGCTGGAGACTTTGCAGGAGACTTAGCCGGTGACTTGGCTGGTGTCTTGGCCAGTGACTTTGCAGGAGACTTGGCCGGTGTCTTGGCCGGTGACTTTGCAGGAGACTTGGCCGGTGTCTTGGCCGGTGACTTGGCCGGTGACTTTGCAGGAGACTTGGCCGGTGTCTTGGCCGGTGACTTTGCAGGAGACTTGGATGGTGACTTTGCAGGAGACTTGGCCGGTGATTTGGCTGGTGTCTTGACCGGTGGCTTGGCCACTTCTTTTGCTTGTGTCTTAGCTGGTGACTTGGCCGGTGACTTGGCCGGTGATTTGGCTGTTGTCTTAGCCGGTGTCTTGGCCGGTGACTTGGCCGGTGTCTTGGCCGGTGTCTTGGCCGGTGACTTGGCTGGTGATTTGGCCAGCGAATTGGCTGCTGCTTTTGCTGGTGTCTTCGCTGGTGACTTTGCTTTAGGCGATTTGGAAACCTTGGGTGACTTCTCGACCTCTTCTGCAGACTCCTTGATTGCAGTGACTGCCAGGGAGTGACGATGCTTGATGAGACCAGATACCTTGGGACTTGCTGTCATTCCATTAAATGAGCGCCTATTGTTTGGCATTGCACCTCGCCGGAGAGGAGTAAGAGGTGGCAGACGCTTGTCAAACTGCTCAGGGCTGAGTTGGGGACCAAAGGACACACGCTTCCGTTTGGCGCTTGGTGCGATGTCATCAGTGGATTGTCGCTTCTTGTTGGATGCTGGGGTTTTCTTCTTGCTGGCAGGTGTTTTTACTGTTAACAAATAAACAGAATAGTTTCATTTTTAAGCACACATCTCTGAGTGTCATGTGTGCTGTAAGAAAATTTATTTCAAAGTAATAATAATAATACTAATAGTGGGTATTTATAAAGTGCACGTATCCACCAGGACTGGTGCTCAAAGCCCTACATTATTATTACCCGTGCTCATTATTACCCCTGCTCAGTATTAAAAAGGGTGCTTACCTTTTGGTGATGCTTTAGGCGGAGTCTTTGCTGTAGCCTTGGGTGGGGTCTTGGTTTTGGGCGGGGTCTTGGTTTTGGGCGGAGTCTTGGCTTTGGGTGGGGTCTTGGTAGCAGTTTGAGGCGAAGCTACCTCATCCTCTTCCTTGAGTGGTGCTGAGACTCGTCGCAACTGACCGATGCTTCTTTTCAGAGACTTGGTACGTCCTGGCATCATGGGGCTGTCTACTGTTGCCTTCTGCAAAATGGAAGAATTTGAAGTGGTTATAATTTTTCTAGCAAAATTTCCGACACTAGATTTTTAGTCTTCTGTGATTATTATACTGAAATTGAAACTGTGCTAACTGCAAGTCACTAAAACTTTTTCTCACCTTCATAGATCCGCTTAACCGTTTGGGAATCTTTTTAGTTGATGAAGGTGTGGCTCTTTTTGGTGTTTCAGTTTTCTCTTCCATCTTGACAGGAGTGGTGCTAGTGACAGGTGCTTCCTGAGCTGCCTTGGGCGAGGCTTTTGGCGAGGCTTTTGGTGAGGCTTTTGGCGAGGCTTTGGGAGAGGCTTTGGGGGCCTTCTTGGCTGCAGGGGTCGTCTTTGGAGTGGCTGCTTTCTTGGCTGGGGAGGGCGTCTTGCCGACGTTAGGTGATGATGCTGATGCCTTGGGTGTGGCCTTCTTTGTTGGGGCAGTGGATGGTGATGCTGCCCTCTTGGCTGGTGTCTTGGCTGGTGTCTTGACAGGTGTCTTTGCCTTGGGTTTGGCTGGAGTCTTTCCAGGGCTCTTTGTTGGAGTCTTCTTAGGAGCTGTTTTGGAAGAAAACACATTTATTATTCATTGAACACATTTTTAATTCTAATTTGTTTCCAACAAAGAAAACTCAAAAACAAATCAGTGCATGGATGTTGAAATAGAAACATGGAGGTTTAGTAAGTGAAAATATGCAGCCGTATTTCTAACGACGATGTATTTCTAATTGTAATTTTGAGCTTATCTTTTCCGAAAGATTTTTTATGGTAATCATCTATGTTGAAAGAAAAGTAGGTTTTTTATTACTAAAAGAAAAGCAAGTTTATCCGACAGCCTATAAATGGATAGTCTGAGTATCACCCGTTGTTCACGGGGCCCTGTCTCTGGTCAAACGTCTGATATATCTAAGCATGCAAATTTATGCAACCCCGCCAATCGTTCTCTACTTTACTAAATTGTGAGGTCATTTCATTCCGCAATCTGGACTAAGTTTTTAGTGCCAGGCAAAGAGATCTATAAAACCTAGAGACACGACATTGGCACTAAGCTTGGCGCATCGCGTAACATAATCGTTACAGAGGGCCTGACCGCAGACTTTGTTTGCTCAATTCACAACGTAAAAGAATAATAGATGTCGTGTCTAGGTTTTTTTTATAGATACAATGTCCATGATGCAAGAATGGGTTTAAAACAGACAAACCCGATATAGAAAGCGCCCGCTGAATGGTCAGAATGTCAAGGTCAAGACGTAGTACCTTTTTTTTGCACAATCAATAGCTGAATCTGCTTGCATATATTAGACCATAGACTAATAAATGGATGGATAACGTAGAAAATGTAAATTACATTAACAGACCAAGTTGTATACAGTATAGTGACTTACTTTTTGCCTTGGTGCCACTGGTGGATGACACCACAGGACTCTGCACCGACCCTTCTGGTTTGCCCGGTGTAGACAGACGATTGGTGTGGCCTGGTGGAAACTCAAATCTGGATAGAGTCACATGTGAACATCATTATAGTTCAAGTTATTTCAATTCCAGGAGAAAAGTAAAATCTACTTTGTTTCGTAATTTTTTTCATTCAAACTTTTTTTCATAAATAAACACCAGTGTATGAAAGTACATGTACATCACTCAAAAGCATCCTATCCATTTTGGAAAAAATGTTCAATGAAACAGGAACACTTTAGACATAGTACAATGACATGATGAAAAATGTCTCCTTTTTTGTGCAAGTGTTCGTCTCAAGCATCCACTTGGGTGGACATAGTGAAGTGAGTGAAGTGAGTGTGTTCTCTACCTGAATGAGCGATCAATGATTGTGAAGATATCCTTGTGCTTCAGTGCCACAGTGTTGGTCAGACTCTTGCCGTTTATCCGCGTCGGGTTCACTGTGCTCAGATTGGTCAGCGTTACCTGCAAAGAAGATAGACACACGTCAACATGTTGGATGTATTCAGAGGATTCAGGGTGGCTTCTGATGTAACCGTGGAACATATTCACAAAGATTCCAAAGTGTAAGTATGGTGGTCAAGCAGATAATTGCAAGCATTAAATCAATGAAGCAAATCCTGCTGCAGTCTTAGCCGGTTAAAAGTAAATCTTTTTTTAACTTACAAATTTCAAATTTAAATGCCATTCTTTCCTTTTTTTGAAATACAGAAATGTTCTGAAAAATTAGTTGAAAAAAATTCTTGTTGTCTGAAATATGACATGCCAACGATCTTATCAGATTGCTAAAATGACAGAATCCAGCAAGCCATTGTGAAAGACTTTAAAAACGTTCACACCGTAAATACATCATGTTTGAGATACTGTAGGACAGTGTCACCTACCTTGCCTGCATCATTGACCTCGATACGACAGTGCTCCTTCGAGACGTTTGGAAGCTGGATCCGAATGTCGCATTCATTGGTTCTACAAGAAACAGAATCATGAAATTAACATGCTGTTTGTTTCTCTTATACAAAAGAACTAATACATGGTGCCTCAACTTTTTCTAGAATATTGAATTCTGGTATGGGAATTGTAGAAAATTCCTGAACAGTGTTTCACAAACAAACTCACCTTCCAAACAAGCACTGCTTGAGCGTGAGGGGAAAGTTGGCCCCGTCCGACTCATTCCGTTTGATTACCACTATCTTTCCAAAGAGTGGCATTTTCTGCAAGTTAAGAACAAAACAAGTCTTACATCACCTTTTTAGTATGTTCTAGTTAATAGTTACAGAAAATGCTAAGATTAAGAATGTTTATGAATATTATTATGTTTTAATATTACTCTTGTAACACGCTACATGTAATACATCCAGTTTGATTTATCAAGTAGGCCTAGGCCTACATTCTGACCATGCAGCTGAAGAATATCCAATAAACCAAACCTACATTACACTTGCCAACTCGCCTGAATATGCCAAAAAAAATTCTAAAAATTTCCTAACAAAATTGGAAATGTTTTTCAGTCCCAGATTCGTGTCTTATCATTATTTTTGCAATGAATGACCTTCATTGAGATGATACTAGTGATGAAGAAAAAAGTGGCGTCGGGTTGCAACATTTTTTTCAAAACGCGCATAGGTTGTGCACATCAAGATTTTTCTTTTTGGAAATTTTTTTCAGCGTATTGAAATTGTCGTGTTTTGAAGTAAAATTTTGCAAAAAAAACAAACGTTTGGACAGCGAAGTGTTTTTAGGTGACTTGTGTGTCTAAACTTTTGTGCGAACGAAACTTTCCACCTCTTTCTTTTCGATTGCACAAAAAATTGCACAGAATGCAGATTTGTTTACCACATCCCCCAAAGCCTCGTGTGAATTTACTGCTGTGGATTTATCCTGAACAAATAATATATATAGCCAGGCCTACTGTCCTGATCATTTTTGTATTTGAACCCAAACTTTAAAAGAGCCAAACACAATTGACAGGCGCATTAGTTCGAACAAGACAAGACAGTCATGACAGTGCAAGAACTTGACATGCTTGAAGTCAACACCTGCTAAATAAATACAGCCTAGGCAGGCTAGGCCCATAACATTAACATTAACTAAGCCGTGTAAACTCAAGATGATGGTAAAAATCCTGTCCAAAGAAAGAGGGTTACTCTACAAATAAGTACACATTAATACAAATTATACTGGCATTATTTGGTAGCAACACAACAGCATTCACATTGGTCTGGCACCCCACACATTCATATTGCACAATCACCTTTCTTGCAATCTGAGCATGTTGAAATGGGTGTCGGACGCTTCGCCCCATTTCCACGTCGCCCCATGTCACTTGAAGTGCTCGAGACACAGATGAGAGAAATGATGGCTCTATCCCATTCAGAGACGCCTCTCCTATTGGCTTGTGAATCATCAGCCGCTGGAAGCGGCTGGATTCAAAAGAATCCGTAGGTATGGGTCAGTGAGTTAAAAGGAACTCACTGCCTTGAGGAAAATGTTCCGTCAAAATTTGTCTGATATGTGACACTTACAACTTCATTTAGATGAGATTGGTTCCTCCAAGAGTGAAATTAGGATGTCAAAGGTATTGTCGTTCTCAGATAAGTGGGAGACGGGTTGGTATAGCCGGGTTGGGAACAAAGTTGGATCTTTTACTTCAAGCTTTTTTGTCGGTAGGGGAGAGCCTATAGCTTGAGAGGTTGGTTATGAATTGTTCATTTGGTGATGGGCTAATTCTTTCCGTTGGTTAGCAATTAGTGAATCTGTTGAAATTGTTTTTTAAGCCAAAAAAATAGATGAGATTTTTTTTTACATGTTACGGCTGGGGCGAAGTGGGGATGGGGCGAAGTGGGGATGGGGCGAAGTGGGAATGGGGCGAAGTGGAAATGGGGCGAAGTGGAAATGGGGCGATGTGGGAATGGGGCGAAGTGGGGATGGGGCGAAGTGGTTAGGGGCGAAGTGACATGGGGCGACGTGGAAATGGGGCGAAGTGTCCGACATTCGTTGAAATTGTCAAGACAAGAAAATACGAAAACCACCACAAAAACACTGCTGCAATTCAAGATCAATTGTACAAAACAGTAAATTCTTACCTTCGTTTATTGTTCCCTAAATAGTTTACAACAAGTTACGACATTAATACATTGAAAATTCGCGAGAATTTGGAGTACACTTTACGTGAAACAACTCCCAGTTTGTACTCCCCGCGTTCAAATTGTTTACCCTATCGTGTTCAACGGTTCATGCATATCTCATACACGTCGTTGTGCGCCCATACATTAGCGCGATATGCCTAATCGTGCCAAAATCCATACACGTCAAAAAAAGTAGTGCACGTTTTATTCAAATATTATTTACAAACAAGAACGTTAATGACATTAACTATTGTAGTTTTCTTCTGTTTATCTCTTAATCCGTATTTTAAATAAACAGAATATAGAATTTTACGGATCCTTCGACAAGTTATTAAAGTTAACTCGCGGAGGAATATTTTAAATGGCCGTTGACCTCGGGGCCCAAATTTGAATTTATAGAATTCGCTTCTTTGATTGGACGAATGGTTGCAAATGCAAATCAGTGGTTACACAAAGAAAACTTGAAATGAATTATCTTTGGGGACAAAAAAATAATATTTAATAGTAAGAAATAGCTATTATATATTAATTGACTGATTATAGCCTTTGAATTTGATCGATTCATTTACTTGAGGATTCGTTTCAGTTTGAAGGGGTGTCCGAGGTTTTTCAAAATTGTCATTTCGATCTTTGGGCATAAAATAAAATTCACAATAACAAGTTGGACATGTTGTGACATGTCTAAATTACAACAAAACTCAAAATCACCCACAACGAAAAGATGTAACGGTTTTAAGAGACTAGCTTTACTGAGGACGGGAGGTGAATCGGGTGATATTCTTATCAGGATAATGGAATCAACTGACCAACCAAAAATAAAATACAACAACCCCCCCCCCCAAAAAAAGAGAAGAAACCCACCATTGTATAATTATACTGAATAATAAATTAAGAGGGTCGTGACTTTTGTTTTGCTTTATTTTGTTTCGTTTCAATTCGTTTCTTCGGTTTTCGATCCGATCTACAGAAAACCGCTCAATACAAGTTAAAAATAAATTCGCAAGTGTACCAGCTTCTGTGAACAGAAACTTTCTGCCAAATATAAACCTATAGGGCCTATCATTTACTTCCCAACTGCGCTGCCCGCGATAGCGTGCGTTCATTTCCCATGGCCTTTGTTCTTGACAAGGAAAACTACCGGTAAAATCACTGTAATATTCATGTTGTCTGACTTACTTGTACTTTCATGGTTGTGTCGGCTAATTGTACTTTCACTAGAGGCGTAGCATATTTATAATCCACTCATTGTTGACTCCAGTGTACTGGTGGTTACCGAAATGTTCTGAATAAAAAACATACTCGCTGCTCAATGTTGGAGTGGATGTGCTCCATATGGCCATTAAAATAGTAGTCTTGTATTTCATTTCTGTATTCCATTATTTTGTTTACAATAATACATTTTTGTTAGCGCTAACGATCCTTCTATTTTATTGGCGCCTTATTCAGCAATTTATTTTTCTTTTATCAGTCGCTAATCCGTATCTCTTAAAAGTTTTATCCACATTTTCTATTACTAATCCGCGCCGTAGCTGACCAAAATTAACGATTCGGAAGAATAGTTTCCCAGTATTTTCAAAACTGTCATGATTAACACCACAAACATAAAATTAATTCAACTTGGCCTTATGGCCCAGCCTTGACCGGACAGTTTTACTACGCTAGAATGGTCGCACTATAAATATAATAGTACACGCATTTCCATTCATCAACTGCACGATGTGTAGCAATGGATTTTCTCCCGCAGAACAATGACACATAATACAGCAAAACACACTTCAAGTTATACTGTTCTGTTTTTGTAACAATCACAGCATTTTATACTGTAAAAAAGGCATAATATATAATACCAGGTTTAATTAAACTTTTTCTGCACTTTTTTGGTTGCGACGTGCGACAAATAAACAAATTGTGTTTACAATTAAACTTTGGTACACACCAAATTTATTAAACTGTTGAGCTGATAAATGCACAAACTTGGCGTAAAAAACCCACTTAATTCAGATAGAATACCTGCCAGTACATTTTCTCTTCTTTTGCCAAGGTGAACGTAACCGGCCTCCTGTCAATCCAAGGCCAAACATCAATTGTTGACAATATAAATGGTCTTATCTCGATCACACTCTCACTGGCTGGATGAACAACTGAACACGAGTTGACCAGGCGGAGTTCAAAGACACAGCTGGAATATTGCTCGATCCATCATCGTTTTGGGAGTTGTGGAGTTAGATAATTTTGTTAAACTCATTCATACAGGAGCTAAACCAGAAATCATGTACTATAGCGTCTTTAGACGGGCTTTCCCGCTGCCCTTAGCTCGGGGAAGCTACCATTTTAACATAATGAACTGCTTCCTTGGTAACCAACCGAAATGCTACACTTGATACAGAGAGAGGCTTTGAAAAGTTGAGATTTCCTGTGTATGTTATGGTGCTGGCAAATTACGAAAATTAAAATAGCCACAGTTAATGTGATGACTGTACATATAGAAAATAAAAAGGGGGATGATTATATACCCTTGAAAGGAAAGGGAAAAATACATTTAGTGACAAATAATAGGCAAAATGAACTCAACTCGTGATCAATTTAGCCGTGACATAAAGGAATACATGTATTCAACAGAATTCTCTTAAATAAACTTAATGTAAAGAACGCTTTAACTTCACTGTAGGACAATTAACCTTTGCTATACATAAACACATTTAAATGAATTTTTGGGGGGAGATCAACTTGGAGATTATTAGAAATACCACAATTGTAAGACATTCCGGTTCCTTTAACTTTTTTTTTTTACTTGGAATGTGTATCATCATAAAGATGATATTTTCAACATTATTTTTTTTCTGATTAAGTAGTCATAAATTTAATATTTCCTTAATGATTACAGATTTGATGATAGAAACAGGAAACAAAAATGTTCACAAAAGTTGAAAATAATTTAACTTCCGCCACTTAAAGTGTAAAAAAACACACTCATCCGTAACAAACCATGAACTGACAAGTTGCCAAATAATTTTATTGAAAAAAAAACAAAAAAACTTGATAAATTGTGAAATAATTTGTTTAATTAAATTATACACATGTACTGGTTAAATTATCGAAGGCACCAGTCTATTTAGGTCATTTGCTAGCACCAGTACCAAAGGTCTTGTTCCACTCCAGGTAGATGTTGAGATCGGACTTGGAAACACTGGGTCTCATGTGCTGCAAAGCTCCTTGGAAGTCTTCATACAGAATGGGACGAACCTGGGCAAGTAAACAAGTATACAAGTAAACAAGTAAACAAAGGTAGGAGAGATTTGCACAGTGAAGAAAATAACTTCAGAAGTTTTTAGACTAAAAGAGAAATGGTTTTGAGAAGAACCAAATTAAAGATGTAAACTTGATGCTTTTGGTTTGTTGTTCTAAACATCATCAGTAGAAAGAAAGCTTGATGATGATCAGAGCATGTTGACAAACTCTCAGTACCTATATGGCTCTCCTCCCCACACATTCTCTTACAAGGTAACCCAAAACGTCTTCCAAGAAAAGGAGTTTGCCCCTCTGATGTTACCCTTTCGGTGATACTCTTTAGATATCAATGCAAATTAAATTGAGTACCTGATCAGCACTGATGTGTTGTATGTCTGTGCCTTGAATGCAGCGGATTGGGCCTAGAGCTGCTTCCCGGCAAAGGTTGGCCATATCAGCCCCAGAGTAACCTGTAATCAATGATCCACAGGAGATAAAACCTAAGGTCAATACAAATACATTAAGACTTCTGGCAAGGGGCTGAAATAAGTTATCTTTGATTGAGGTAAACAAGTTTGGAAGACCTACTTTTAAAAAATAATAAGATTGTTTTTTTAACAAAACATAACTTGCTGAACATCTTGAAAGCAGTTTGAAAATAATCTCTCTGGAACATTTTGTTACATTTTTGGAGGGTATAGGGTTGAGGCTGATGGTATCTGGGGAGGGTGCCAGCTGGCTCAAATTCATTTTTCAAGTTCTTGTGAAGATGTAATGAGTTCTCACCGTCAGTCTCTTGGCATATTCTATCCAGCTCCTCCTCAGTGAGAGAGTAACTCTGCTGAGCTAGGAGATTCTGAACAATCTGCCTCCTAGCTGGAGCCTCAGGGAGCGGGATGTAGAGACGTTTGACCAGCCGACGTCTAGCTGCCTCATCAATCTCTTGAGGACGATTTGTGGCACCGACAACTAGGAGACGGTCGTCCGAGCTGGTTGTTGCTCCATCCTAATAAAGAAGAGGTCATGCAAACAGGGATGAGATTGTCAATTAAAAAAAGTCTGAAAATTGGATGAAAAGTCTGAAAGGTGTGTCTCTTTCTATATTGATAGTGTCTTTCTCTCAGATTCAAAAAATTTCACACAAAAGTCTGACAAATCTCATGCAAACCTAAAATTATCTTTAACCCTCCAAGAGTCTTCAAAGTCAATCAGGAAGATGGACAATTTTGAAGGATTTAGGGAGATAGAGAATTGCCACATTTAATTTTAAAAGCAGCTTATCTCCCTCTGAAAGTTTTGAGTACAAAAAAATGTGCCATTCAGTTCCTGCAGATTGGTGAATTTTTGAAGGATTCAAGAAAGGATCCTGCAAAAATGCCCAAGGAGTTATGGTTAAGCTTAGAAAAGTGGTGATGTCAAAATCAGATACTTCAAACCAAACTTACTAATTGCACCAGGAACTCTGTTTTGATTCGTCGCGATGACTCGTGTTCATCATTGGATCTCTGAGAGAGGAGCGAATCGATTTCATCGATGAAGATAACCGCCGGCTGGTGGCATCTCGAGACGGCAAAGAGTGCCCTCACCATCTTCTCTCCTTCACCGACCTAATATATGGGAAACAAAGGTGACTGAAGACAGTAAATATTCAGAGATGGAATGGAACAGTTGTGGGTATGAGACATTAACTGTTTCCTAATTTAACTTCGGGAAGTTACTTTAATTTTTCTCCTGATGATGATCAGAAGATGCTTATTGAAGTGCCCAGCTAGAATCTTTTCTTAGATATCTTTTCATTTTGAGAGAGTCACTTCATTTGGCGCATCTGCAATTTTTCCAGAAAATGTCCTCTCCACTACATTAACTAAACATCGTCACTAGGCACACTGTGAGCAAGAACTTGAGCTTCGGACTAGATCCACTTACCCACTTTGAGGTGAGTGAGGACGCACTTATACTGAAGAAGGTTGCACCGGATTGACATGCAATGCATTTTCCTACAGATAAGTGAGAAACAAATTATAAGAAAGTGTTCATGTGATTTGGTACTTGAACCCTGGCAAAATTATCCTAGCTATGATGCTGTCATTTAACAGAATATTTATAACTAGGGATAACACATCACAAACGTTCCTACCTATGAGCGTCTTGCCAGTACCCGGAGGTCCAAATAGCAGTAACCCCTTTGGCGGTCCTCGGAGACCATTGAAAATGTCTCTGGACACAAAATTATCAAAAAAATAAAATAAAAATGTATCCACACATTTACAAAAATGTTTTGAGAGTTATTCTTATATCAAGTAGATTTAGAAGTCGAACTTCTTTGATTTGGACAACTGGATTTTCAAAGTGCCCTTGCCCCAAAAAGCTTCCTTGCAAAAGAAACTTTGTCTTGCCTCTCAACAGTTGACTATTAAGATATATTCTTCCTTCCCTGTATTCTGATTGGCCAAACTTTCAAGTATTTTTATATATGCAGAACTCAGTGACAATATCGTCATATGTAATATTTAAATTAGTTGACCTCAGGTAACAGAGCTAGGTCAAATGACAATGATGCACTGATCATTCTCTGAGACCATGGCAGTGTTTGAACTAGTCCAGGCCTTGTGCTTGATTAAATCGGTAGATATGTCCAAGGGTGCCAACTTACGGTCTAAGCATCGGCCAGACTACGATCTCTTTAATGGTTGTCTTAGCAAACTCCAACCCAGCGATGTCATCCCACTGAATTGGGGGACCGTGGTCCATGATCTAGGGGAAAAAAATCAGTGAAGAGCTGATAAACTGATGATCTAGGTCCAATTTAATTCAATTAACATACAAGTTAAGAATATTTCACGATTTCAGCATAGAATTAAACTCATTTTATTTAAGAGCATTTAACAAATAAAAGTCACCAAATTTTGTAATTTCTGAGCAGTTTCTGATTTGGGAGCATATAATATCCTTGTACCAGTTCTACCCTTGTTGACAATCTAAATTTTTCTGAGTTCATCAGCAAGCCTCAGTGGTGGTTGAGTGGGTAAGACATCTGCACTAGTAAGCAGGAGGTCATGGGTTCAACTCCCACACCAGCAAGCTTGTGTGCTTTTTCTCCGCAATACTCTAGGAGAGCACCCAGTATCAAAATATTAAAACACCAGATAAAGTGTCTTTTTTTTTGTTAACAGTGAGTTTAAACATACCTCGTTCATCACAAGTTCAATCATCTTCGGATCAATTCCTTTAAGACGCTCATCAGTCACTTCTTCCTCGCCATCACCAGTAACATTTGACCTTCCAGTGACCCCTCGTTGACCTCTGTAACGACATGAAGTAAAACCAGAGAGATAAGTCTTCGTTCCAGTTTGGTTTTGGTATACTGGTAACATGTAGTGCAATTCATTTACAGTTGGTTGAAGTGTATCTAGGACAGTGGGTGGGGAAACGAACAAGTAGGTAGATGGATAAAATAACAAAGAATATTAATAGTCTGACAGACAAACAGATGAGGAGCTGAGTTGATGGAATATCGTCTGCACTAACCAACAGACTAAAAACTGATTACAATAACACAGACATATAAACAGTATCATAACAGACATATAAACAAACAAACCAATGGATGGACAAACGGATCAATGACATCACACCTATCAGTGTCTCCGTCTTCTCTGTTCACGACAGGAGGAACAAACTTGCTGTTCAATCCTCTCCTCGTCGTCCCTAGTGATTTCTTGCCCGTACCGTAGGCTGATGATGTCGGGGCTCCGGTACCAGCACGGTTACCGTACTTCTTCTGATTCTGAATAATCTACAAGAAATGGAAAACAATACATCCAATTCTTTCAATCACAAAACAAAATCTACATTTCAGCATAGAATTCAGTTTACGGATTTTATATTCAGTTGAGTTTTGCAATTTTCTGAATGTTTTATTTCTATTTCACTAAGGTCGTCTTAGCAAAGACGCTGACTGTAGCTTAACTTGCAATAAATTATTAGGTAAAAAGTTAATGAACACTTATATTCCATTAAAAGTCATAAATATTATTGTCTTGTTTTGTTCTCTTGTAAAATTTGGACTTACAAGTTGTTCGTTTGCCGTTTTGAAAGCACTTGGCATAGCTGAACTTTCATCCTCATTATCCATGTGTCTGGCACCCTGACCTTCGGTGAATCTTCTGTCTGCAAAACCTGTGCGCTCAGGTACAGACGTCCTGAAGGGGAGCTGACCATCACCTTGGAACTCAACTGTTGCAAAAAAAAATTAATTAATAAATCAGTAAGCACTCAAAGTTCAATGAAAACACATTAATGATGTGGGACAAAATCAAGAGTGCAAAATTACAAACTCGGTTTTCAAAGTGATTCAATGAAAAAGTTCACACAAAAAGAAGAGTTATTCTACCTTCTTGGAACATGGTCTTCCTTTTCAGTGAGTGAGGTGGTGCACCAGTTGAAGTAAACCCGCTTGGTCTATACCCTTGATGAGACGGGAAACCAGATGACTTTGGAGGCTCCCCGTCATAGTTGGGTCCTGGGTTGTCATTGATTTGGCCTCGATTTTGTGTCCTGTTGGCGGTAGACTGGGAGGGAAATGCTGAGGCATGGTGACGGGGTAGGTTTGGGTCTGACGGGGGCATGGGGGCTGTTCTGTCTTGAAATTGGGGCGCAACTAGATGGCTTTCCCTGGGGTTTGGGATCTGTTGCCGAGTTCTTGAAAATGTTGAAGTTTGGGGTGGCTGTCCGTAGCTTGTTGGACCCTGACCTTTTGACACTTGATTTGTTGAACTTTGACCTGGAGGGTGATTTGCTGCATTGGCCGAAGAGGTGATAGGTCTACTGGCATGAAATGATTGTGGGTTCTGGTTGAACGTTGGGTAATTCTGTTGACTTGGAGCTGTTGCAGTGGGCTGCCTGTTTACATGGGATGAAGCAAAACTAGTGGATCCACTTGATGGATTGGACGAACTGCGTTGATCCACAACTTTCTTGTTTTGATTGAGAATAAGAGGTTCATCTGCTCTAGTTGGTTTCTTTGACGCCGCACTGGCCTATGGGACAAAAATTGTAAAATGTCAGAAAATTGATAATAACAATTCCAAATGTTCTGAACAACATCTTGGTATCCATACAATACATTCAGATAAAAACGACAACCCTGCAAGGTTCAATGAAAAGTTATAATTGCTCAGCACATTAAACTTAAAAGAAAACAAGTAACTAGGTCTACTTTTTGTTAACTACAAATTTGCTGAGAAGAATTTTTGCTCTACTGCTCCATAAACTTGGGCCCAGTCACATACGTTCTATAAGAAAACTACAGGAATAAACAGAAACACTAGGTCAATTTTGTTGACAAGATATAATCAAGAAAAACGGTTCACCTTTGACGATTGCAGCAACTGCTTTACGCAGGAAAGATCTCTGATATTTTCAGTAGTTAGTGATGTGGTCCAAGCTGAGCTCTCTGTTTGGTGAAGATGTTAGGAAGTCAACAATTATACACATGATAAAGTAAACATAAATTAAAATATCATTACAATAATTACAACTATTTGAGTGAAATGTTACCATTTGGATGATTTGCACACATGGTCAGCGCCCCATCGGCGTAGTTATTGAGTCCTGAAATAAAACGATACAAATGAATCATTTCATAGTCTTTGGGAAATAAAGGCACAAAGAGAAGTGGTAGCAAGAACTAGTGAAATCGATAATTGAGGATAGCCGATACTGACCTGTTTCACCGTTGGCACTGTCGACAATAGATGAGTGTGCCTTGATGTAGTGTCTTGCAAGATTAGAGCGAACATCATCACTTATGCTGTGAGGAAAACAAAATACTTTCAGATGAGGGAAACCTGATTATAATGACTTCCAATTGCAGACCATTCTGTTAAATTCATCACAAAGTAATCTTTTCGGATAATTTTTTTTTAAATGTCACATTTGCATCTCTCAATATTAGGAATCGTTAGGTATTAAAGTAATCAACACTACCCTGTTTGTACTACAATCATGGCTGTGATTGGTCAAAACATGGGCACAAGGTTTAATGGAGAGCTGTTTTTTGTTTGACAAAAATGAGTTAGTCTAAAAAAGGGTTTTATGACTAAGTCATGAAAGTCATTCTCATTAAACTGAATTGTGATGAATTTTTCTACCTACCTTCCTATAGCATTTGCCTGGTAGACCTGTTGCAGGATACCAGTGATGGTGTCAACTTTGACCCGAGGACTGGCCTGTGACCCTTGGAGGTCAAAGTAACATTTCTGCCATTTGCGCAAGATGAAATTCTCGGATTCCGTTGCTTCGGTCATGGTTCAGCCTCAGCCTCAGGGCATATTAGTTAATACATAGGAATAGTTGTCACTCAAGGGTTGTCCGTTCGTTTTCCTTGCTCCATGGTTAGATTCAGAATTACATCTTCATCTTATTTATGATGATGTGAAAGCGGATATTTTACCTGTACAAAATACAAAAGGAAAGATTCTTGGAAAAAATGTTGCAATCTGACACCACTTTTTTTTTTTTATAGCCTATAGGGTTAGCCCTAGCTAGGCCAATTATATATCATCTCAAATAAGGTCAGTTATTGCAAAAATGATGATAAGACAAGAGTTAAGACATGAAGACTCAGTGAGAAACAATAAATAATGTTAGGAAATACTTAGAAAATTGTCTTGACTCTCCATAGACTTTGTACACAACCGCTGAAATGGCGTCAGGTTGCAACATTTTAGCCCGATTCCTCCATATCATACAATCAATGTCTGACTGTCATGACTGCATTGAATTTGTCATCAAGTTTTTTAAACAAGTTACACATGACTTAAAAACCTTTACCCACGCCCACCCTGCCAACCTTCGGTCAGTTTACTTTCACAAACATGTATTTTGAATAAAAGACTCTCCAATTTCAGTGTGTTGACTTACGAAGCAGTTGAAAATGATTAAAATAAAACTGAACTAAAATTTTACCCGAGCCATGTTCACAACTCGCGCCATCATACTGCACGTGGTGAACACCAGAGGGCGACATTTATATCCAAGATGTCGGATTCCTGGGTGAATTTTCTTGCGACGTTCGTTGCATTTCTGACGTATTTATTGTTCTGTTTCACTGAAATTCTGGCAGATAGTCGCCAAATAATTGTTCCTGAAGAGACGAAGTGTTGGGATGAATCATGTGGAGTAACTTACGATCCTAGGACACCACTGATACGGTGTGAATTTGTGTAAGTGTACCGGTTTTAGATCTGTCATTCAATCGCCATGCCCATGTCAATAAATGTATATAAATAAAATATCATTAACACTAACACTTAGTAACAGTACTACTTGTTAAAAAAGTATGAAAAATGCATAACAACCTCCCCCCCCCAAAAAAAAACCCTATCGCCCTGGCACAACCTTCACGTAATCTATGGAACTTTCACAGTTTTTTCTTCTGAGAATTTAGACTGTTAGACGTAATCAATTCATTGCAATGATTTCCTTGTGTTTGATTTATATATCTATTTTTGTTAATTATATTATTTTTGTTTTTTTCACTTGAATGTTTTGTCTAGGCCATCAGAATATGTAGAGTGTGCGACACCAATTGATTTGACAGCAACCAATGGGAACACTACATTAGAACCGCACTTTGGATGTACACAAGTAGGTCTCCACTATTTTTTAAATTAGAAATGAAGGGTATCAAATATGATTAATATTATTTTTCCCCTTAGTTAAAATATCGGTATTTTTGCCCATACAGAGCAACACTGTTGCATTAATTTTCCTTTGTTTTTCATAATCCTTTATGATTAAAACAAGTTCCAGTCTGAATACTTTTTTTTAATTAATTTAAATTTATTTCACAGTATGGCAAGCAGCGCTATGGTGAAGTAGAAACAACGTCAGTTCATTGTACGGTTCTACCTGGCATTGAATGCTATGGTAACAGAACCTTTGTTAAAGACAACGTGCCTTGCATCAAGTAAGTATGCGATCATTTCAAGAACAAAATATTTTTGTATCCACTTCATCTGAGATAAAGACAGTCAAACTCATAATTCTGCATGCTGATCAAGCATGTCACGTGACATGCTTGCATATCACCAGATCTAAAATGGACTTAATTTTTTCACAATGCTTAGTAGGCTAACCCTTTTTCAAGGAAAGATAAAGATTTAATTTTTGCTTATTATAGAAATGTTGGGATAGCATGTTGGGATAATATATTGTTTACAAGGACAACCAAAATGCTTGTTTTAACAAAATGTAGAAAATTGTAGCAATGACCAATAGATTCATGGTTAGAAAATGTCCTTTGTTTAAATAATATTTATCACTTTTCAACCCTCAACAGATACAGCGGTCACTATTTTGTGACTACGCTCCTGTTTTCTGTTCTGCTTGGGTTCTTTGGAATAGACCGGTTCTGTCTTGGTTACGTGGGTATGGGCGTTGGTAAGGTACTGACGCTTGGCGGCTTTGGTGTGTGGTGGATTGTGGATATCGTCTTGCTGTGCACTGGTAACCTTATGCCAAGTGATGGGAGTAACTGGTGCCCTAACTATTGAGAAGTGACATAGCTGGTGTCCACTTTAGAGGGAGGGGGCACTTTTGGGGGTCTCATTTTCTCAAGGGGTACACAAAACCTTATTTTGCCTTCTCCAAATCTTTATAGGGGGCACAAGAGGTGAGGGCCAGGTCTTGAGCAGGGGCCATGTGCCCCCCCCCCCCCCCCCCCCATGCGCCAACTTAACTATACCACTGCTATTGAGTAGTAGGTACCAGGATTGACATTTATTCCTCTTAAAAAATGTTTTTCCAATGTTCCTTATTCAAAAACGAAATAGATTGTTTTCTTAAAGCTCTAGTTACTTGTATACAAAGTGATTCTGAACATTGGAAAATTAACCAGCTTGAGTGAGATAAAAGTAACATTTTTGTGGGTGAGATGTTATTTATTTGTACTGAAAAACTTAAAATACTTTGTTTAACTTTTTTTCTAAGTCAGTGATATTGATGAAGCATGATTTTCAACATTATTTGTAAATTACAGTGTACATAATTAAGTAAGATATGTAAAAAGTTTAAATTTATCAACTTTGTACAAAATAAACTGTTGTAAATATTTGACACAAAACATTGAAGTTGCTAACCATCTGTGGCATAAAGTGCGCCCTCTAGCTAGCTCTACCAATCCGGCCTTTTAAAATAGCGCCCTCTATGCAATGGCTACCATGACTAAGACCGGAGGTATTTTTTTACGGTGACTGAACAAATAAGTGTTTGTTAGCGTCCACGATAGCGAAGGTCGAGTGAATTAGTTGGCGACCATCCGATTGGTCAACAAAAGCCCCTCGGTTTATTTTTTTTGCGGGGGAGGTGGAAATACTTTTGAAGCAACTGGTTGCTTATCAGTGGGGGAGAATGTTCTCAGATAATCTTGCTTGAGCAGGGATGGAGAGAGTTGAAAACCCACAAACATGTAACCTTGGTGACCAAGCCACAAGTGAAATATTATCATTGTTGAGTCACCAGATTCGCTGAAATCGTTTTGATTTTCACTGATAAGCAGCCGGGGGGAATATAGTGTGGGATGGATCGCCAAGGTTAAGACCAGATTTGGAAGAAAGAAAAAGAATTGGCATGACTAACTCAGCTTGATTAATTTTCCTTCTGACAAATTAAACAGAATTCAGAAGGAAACGAAGAATCGTGTCTTCAGTAGTTTCAAGCCAGGTCACATATTTTACTTAACTTGGCGTTGTATACTGCCCAGGCAAAAGTAAAGAAACCAAAAGGACACACAGGAAATATTCTGAGAAGTCTGAAACTTTTGATCTGTTTTTATAAATACATGGTTGTAAAAAGGAGGTTTGCCATTAGATTTCAGTCTTTAGAAAATGCGCGGCAATAAAAAAAACAGTCGATTACATTATAGCTGAGATGTCGTCAGTGTCTGAACTTTCGGCACTGATTTATCGCTGTACTAATAATGGTCGCTTGTCGTAGAGTTCAAAATGAAAATGCGCGAGAAGTCCATTCTATCGTTCACTGAGAGTGAATTGTTATCCTTCCCAGAACTCTTCACCATTCTTCTCGACATGGTTCCAGTATTTTCCGCTCTTTTTGGTCATAGGTTTAATGCCTTGTAATATGCCACCTGTAGTTTGCGTCGCGTCATGCACTGTGAGATTGATTCGATTGTAGGAATTTGTGCCAACTTGAGCAATCCATGCAGGAATAAGAACGTTCTTATTCCTCCATGAGCAAGCTAAAAGCATCATTTGCGGAAACAAAAAATGTTGACTTCTGCAAAGAAAATTACGTCTTTCGGAATACACAAGTATTTTTTTCGTAGGCTATTTGTCAGTTAATAAGTCCGTTCAGTTAATTGAAATTGTTCAATCGTTCTTGTTTTGTTAATTGTATCCTGTTGTCAGTGATTTTGATGTCGCGTTTGCTATTCTTTTCTCCGAGTGCAATTAGAAGATCGCAAAACCATTTCGTCACGTATGAAAGTATGAAACCAAAGATGATTTATTTATTTGTGTGTGTCTGTCGTGAGTATACGAAGAGGAAAAAGATTGGGTAAGCGTTTCTTAAGCCAACTTCATGTTTCTTAAAAAAAAAAATAATCTTGAGTTTCTACGATCACCGGTTATTTTACCCCACTCTCTGCCGTGAATTGGCGCCCCGTTACGGCGCGGTACGCCCACCGTCCCGCTCCCGACCGCGCGCTTCGCAGTCAGGGTCGGAGTTCATTTATTTGAAAGTGGAAATGAACTCCAAATCATTGCTTCCTTCCTTTCGTTTTTGTCGACTAACTCAGATCCATTCTAACTCAATAATGACCAATCCCGGGCCTCACCCAGCGATTGAAAGCGACCCGTACGGCAAGCAATTACTGTGGAATGTTTCGTGTGCAGGACTTTCCATATCTTGAGAAACCACAAAGTTGTTTTTCTACTCTTCGTGATTTTGATAAAAGGCGCGTGGATGATGAGTTAGGATTTATCATTGATCCAAATACAATCTGCTTAGATGTAATGGGCACTGAAACTGTGGGGCCATACCGGTACACTGCATGAATAATATGATATGCGTTGTCGTGTATAACTTAGGTCCTACAGTTTTCATGTCGTCCATGATGCAACATGGCCTGGAAAATTGATCATGTCCAACATTACCCTTCTAGTTTGTTATGTGCATTCTCATGTTTGAGATACACCGTAAATGTATAGCCTATATTGCATCAATACTCATGTCGTTCATATACTAAAACAGTGGGGGGGGGGGGGGGGGGGGGGGTTGGTTGGGGGGGGGGACATAATTTACATGTATATGCACAAATATGACAGTAGAAGGCTTATCGGGCGGAACGGCGACCCGAAAGGACGTTGTATTATTTGCCCGTTTGTCGTCGCATCTTCATTTTCGCCTTGATTGATTGAACTAAAGATGCATCTCTGAAGCCAAGAACAGGAATGGAACATTGTTATTGGTAAATTCAATCGAATGGATGTAGCATGACTATGGAGTCTTCTAATCATTTTGGTTCGATAGGTGGTGTCGGGGAGGTAGGCTAACTATTGAAGGGCTGCGCCCATAGGCCCTAAGAAGTGATTTACGCGTGATGAGGTTTAGTCACCGTCGTTTGTAAGTGGATATCATTGCTTTCACTGGTACTCAAATTGCCCATCGGCATTCAACGACAAAGCTGCTGAGTACCAAGCATTCGGTCAACGTTGGTTACCAGTACCGCTCCGTTGGTTTACCCCTTAATTTTCTTGCTATTGGCCTTATACGGGATACCAGGGAATGATTCGAGGCGAAATTGGTATAACTCTGGAGTATTTAACAAAAATGGCGCAAAATTGGACTCTTTGTATTTCAGTTGCTTTTATTCACACCTGCCTGTGTTTTTTCCACCAACTCTAAATCCTGCACAAAAGGACCAATTATAAACCACCATTAACCCAAAGACAGGGCCTGCCTCGAGCCCCCAACTCACCGACAAAAGCTTTACAATATCACATTTAGAATCAAAATATCGTAAATTCGCAAAACGCGACCCGTGCTGACCCCGCGTTGCCCACCTGATGTGTGCTCTGCCCGCGGGCGCGCCGGGCTCAGGAATTTTACTGTATCAAGTTTTTTGGGGAGAACCGTATGTGTTCTTGTTCTTTTCTTTCTTTATTATATTAATCCACTAACTAGAAATCGAAACTTACTCGGTAAAATGAAGTCTGTCTCTGTGTGCTCCTCAAGGCATGAAATGGAGACTTCTTTGGTTTCTTGATATCTTAACACCCAAGAACACTTTCAACAATGGCGAAGGCTATCAAAATAATCAATGTAAGACCACTTTTCTGTCTCGACCGATTTTGGATGGTTTTTTTTTTAAACTGCATCCACCATTGAAATGTAATTTACATGGGTTTGTTTGAAAAGTTAATATTAATGTCGAACTTCGTCTGGTGTATGGGTCTACAAGTAATCATGTTTATTACAATAGTGTTGTAAAGATGAGACATACCTTTGGGGGGTATTTTGATAATCCGACGTTGCATGTTTATTGCTTCCTGTTTTGGGGTAGTTGTCAGGAATTTTGCGATTTATTCCTAGGCCCTTTATATTATTGGATAAGGAATTTCTAGTCCACCTCAGTTGCTCTGATAACAAGTGGATTAAGTCTAACCTGACGGAAGCTATACGATGATCTACGAAAATCTGATATCCGATTCAGCGGATTTTTTTCCTCCCAGCAGCCTCCCTTGAAACGTATTGAAGTCACCAAATACGTCAATGGGCCCAAGAATTGTGAAAAAATCAAACTCCGCTATATTCCCCTTGCAGGTATAGAGTGATATCCGGTATGTTGGTATATACCCTAGAGGTGGTATAGTACACTATTGGACTTGATGTTAGGGTAATGTAGTTTGACGGTTCGCCGTATCTCACGGGATCGCATTGTGGGAGAATGAGCGGCGACACCTCGGGACTCGCTGCCGCTCCGAAAGCGCTTCCTTAATTCAAAATTTCAAAGGAATATTTCTTGCAATTTGGAGGTAAGAAGAGGAGGATATGGGATTGAAGTTGACAGTTAGATGTCGGGACTTTATATGAGAATATCCCTGGGGTGTGGTCCGTTACTTTTGCCTCTTGATCAAAGTTGACATTTTACTTTTAGGTTTTCTACAATGGTTGTTTTCCTGACAAGATTTTCTTCACACTCCTTTTTCTTTACAACCCGAATATTCAAGTCTTCAAAACACGGCCATAATGAAAGATATAACTAAGACAAGAAGATGTCTGAACGAAGATTTTAAAAGTGAGATAAATGTTGAGAGATGTCCTCGTGTTTATCATAATTATTCCACCACACTACACGAGGTAATTATTCTGGAAATGCAAGCGTTACAAATCGCGCACGGCACCCCGACGTGTCGTTAACCTTGAATGTCCGCTCTCGCAAATACGTCGTCAGTTCTCCACGTACTCCAATTTTCAGCCAGAAATATTTTCTTTTCTGTGACAAATTTGGCCGTTGATGGCTAAACTTTGACCTGCGGTTAGTCGAAGAATGTCGGGGTTTCATTTTTCTCTCAAAATCCAACCCGGTGGTCGAGAGGTGAGTCAAATCGCTGATAGATAAAAACTGGTGGAAAATCTTACTTTTTGATCGATTTTGTTTGAACAAAACTCTTGCGGTCGTGCCGGTTGAGTCCCCTCATAGTTAGTTCAATTCAATTCTACATGTACCACCTTTTTGTTATAACACATTAGTTCTAGCCATAAAAGTTGTCAAATTCATTTTCAAAACCGAGGTGTGGGGTTGTTTACGAGTTGGTTGTATTCCATTCCTTCGGGCTGTGGGTTCATGCGCGGCGGCCTGAGCACAAAAGGTGGTACCATTCAACCGAGTCCCCTGGGTATGGTCCCGGCCTCGCTTTTTCCCCGAGTTCATTACTAATTCATTGCAATGCAGACAGACTAGAAGCGAGCCAGGGATTTGAACCATTGGGGAGCAATGGGCAACCGATATAGAGCAAGAATTAAACGTAAATTGAATTGCTGCAGCTAGCTTCGAAGAAGTCCCATTAAGTTTACATGTATATGTGAACGTATAAGGCTAGTGGTATGGGAGAGGTTTTCAACCGAAAGTGCGTTCGACTACCAGTTACTCTAGTCACTAAACAAAAACGAAAGCAGAATGGAGCCGCACATCTGAATAGTGGTTAAGTTTCCCCGAAGCTGTGGGCAGAAACTGGTATTAAGTTTGCCGTCTAGTTTAATGAGATTTGAAAGACGCGGTGGTTGTGATTTAAGGAAAAAGTGGCGAAATTGATATGAGATTGAGAAGTATGCCTTAGGTGCTGGAATATC